CCACATCTCAATCCAATAGAGCACCTTTGGGATGTGGTGAAACGGGAGATTAGCTTCATGGATGTGCAGCCGACAAATCTGCAGCAACTGCGTGATGCTATCATGTCAATATGGAGCAAAATGTGAGGAATGTTTCCAACACCTTGTGGAATCTCTGCTACGAAGAATGAAGGCAGTTCTGAAGGCAAAAGGGGTCCAACCCGGTACTAGCAAGGTGTACCTAATAAAGTGGCCTGTGAGTTTATATAGATAATGTATTTACACCTACATCATTAGGGATGTTTGTCCACGTCCCTTCCACGGTGGTTCACAGTGACAGGAATGGATGAGGGGGATGTCAGAGTGTCTGGAAGGGGCTGGACCAGACTGAGGCTTCATCTCTGCACCTCAGGACCTTTGGGTGCTGCTTGGCAGAAGGAACATTTTGGAACCCCACGGCATAGCCATTAACGTTATGTTCAACCGGTTCACAGGAAAGTGATTTTCTTCACAACATAAAAAATGGAATTTCTTGCTTTCATTTTCTTGAAATCCTGTTTACAAGCATTTCGTATTAATGTTTTTTTACCACATTCAGACTATAGTATAGTATTGAAAATACATGATTTTTTTATGTACATACGTCAGCTTCCCAGCGACTCTTAATCTAGAGGAAGCAGTCCAATCCAACTCCTTTAGGAAGGGAAGGAATAGTCACATAAGGTTTACTGAAAAAGTGAAGGCCTCAGTTAAACAGTGAGGCTTCTATTAACTTGCCAATTAATTCTATCATGAAAGTCAGTGTCTCACACAAACACACACTTGCATCTTTCTACTGCTGCAACCAAACTGAGGGGAAGTGGCAGCACAACAAAGAATCTTCTCATTGCTGGTAGAGAGGCTTTGCCAAGCAGGATGTAGCTTCTATGTCCTTCTCTGTGTGTGTTGCACATGGATGCACCTGTGGGTTCAGTAGCAGAAGACTCCATAATGATGAAGGGTGGGACCCCTCACCACTTACATCATCCGGCAGCTCAGTTTCCACAAATTGAACTATTTTTTCCTGAATGTTGCCATTATAGGGAAACTCCACAGATGTCAATCAAAAAGGCTGGATTACTTGTAATACAATACTCTACTTAAATTACTATGAATTTGTTGTAGAATATCTTCTGTGGCTCTGAAGGAGTTTTGTTAAGTCTGTGAAAAAAACATGTGATTTGTCATCATGATGTCATCATGGTTATTTCAGTTTCGGATGGGAGCTGACCCATGAATAAGAGAAGGCCTGTTATACTGGGGCTGTTGAGCTTGATATTGGCAGGTGTTCACCAGGCATGGAGGGTCTAACAAATATATGCTATTGATTTATGGGACGTCACATCCAGCAGCAAATTGAACTATCTCGCTGTTCCTCACATTTTCTGATAGAGGGAGAAACAAAGTGTTTTTTTCCTCATACTTTCATATTGATGTTGAAAAGCCATTAAAAAGTGCATTTTGCATAAGTGACCTTAAGGAACAGTGTGTAGGATTTGGGGTAGTGGTAAGGAAACATACCGAATAGCCTCTGCTCACTCCCTTTCTACGACTGTGGTAGTGTTGAGTCGCCCAGTGTAAAACTGTAGTTACGCTGTTCGGCTCGCTCAGAGGCCATCCATACCATAATAACACTACTGTTAGAACAGAAGTGAGACAGTGGCTGGTGGCACTGAAGTTTTACACCCTATGGTTCACATTATTGCAGTTTCACAATGTCGGAGAACTACGGTGGCCTTCAGGTGCCGTAAAAGAAACGTGAAAAGCACTCTATAGAGCCAGTGTTTGGTTTTGTCCATCCTGGGCTACCGTAGGAACATGGGGGTGCAACACAGCAGACCCAGTCATAGCTCACCAAAAGATGATTCTTTGTTTCAGGTTAATGTGCACTAATGAAAACAGTTATGAATACTAGATTTCATTTCTACAATTTTCCCCCAAAATGTTACTCACTGGCAAATGACAAAACCCTTTATGTTCAGACAGAAGTCTAACAATTCTGTCACCAAATGAAGATTAGACATCACTTTATTATAGTTCAGGCTACATTCCTGCTTATATACACTTAGTAGCAAATATATTTCTGACAACCTGTCCCCAGAAACATTTTTCCCCATCACCACCATGACTTCCGGATGTTCATGGAGATTCAAAGGAGAGCTTCAGTAACCCTCCTGCTGTCTCTAGTCCCCCACCACTAGACCCCATTAGGGTCACGAGACTCTTCATTCATCTATGGAGTCTAGACAAAGTTATTTCTGTTGCCAACCTCAATAAATATAGTCATTGATGAATAAATATGGAGCCAAAGTGTAGAAGCTTGCACTTTATTGGAAAAAATCAAAACAAAAATATAATCTGCAGGGACAATGCAGGAAGTATGCTCAGTGAATGGATTCAGGGCCATTTTAATCTTCAAACCTGCGTTCATACCTGCACTCACCTGTTTCTGTGATTGGCAGGGAAAGTTTTATATACACAAAGCACCGATCAACAGTGCTCTATTCTGAACAACTAGAACTCCCCTCTGGTTACCAGTGGGACTCCCCATGGCCCCACATTGTCCTGAATGCTCCAGTGCTCGCCTATGGAAACATGATCTGAGCATGAAAGGGACCCTGCACATTCAGGTTGGAACAGGGCAGCCAGGAGGTTTGTTAAATGTCACAATAAATGCCATGCCAAAAGCGTCAAAAGCATGAATGCAGATTCCTTTCCAATGCAATGCTGCCTCCATCACAACATTTAGTGCCGTTGCTGATGTGAAAAACGTTCCCTCGCCAAATTTGTAGAAATCCTCCTCACCAATTTGATCGTGTTAAGTTTATGAACATTAACATCCTCCATGACCCCTGGAGTCACAGATAACTGTACAAGGCATCATGCGAGTACAGATAATATTTAGTGCCCCAACAGCAAAACATGTCATCTCTTTATCGTCTTTATATTAACTTCTTTTTGAAAAAAAAAAAAAAAATCCTTTCAATCACTCAAAATCCAATTCTACAATCAATCATACCTATGTATAAACCTGAAGACCGTCCACAAGGAGATCAGTGACTAGTTACAGTTACATATTTTGTCATCTTATCTATAGGTAATCATAAATAAATACAAATAATACACAAGGAATGTCTACTGCAAACAATACATAAAAGAGTGGTATAAAGAGTTTGCAATTGCTTTCCTAATTTGGGGATACTTTAAGAAGGTATTATGATAATCAAAAGAACTGAAACAATGTGTGACAACAACCCAGCCTTGCTTTTTTTTGCAGGTACATAAACCGTGATGTCACGGAGCTCTCCTCATGGGTGTGGCGTTTCTCTTAGTCCAGGATGAAGTAGGGGTTGATCCCTGTCCACATGGGTCTGAATGGCAGCACACTTTCCCTCTCCTTCTATGACTTCCACATGATGGGCACAATGTCCACTGCGATGCCCGTCTGAGATGGTCAGAGCCGCTCCTAGTCACCGTGGTTTTATTCAACAAGTCTTATTTGGGCCTTTTAGTCCCAGAGACAGGAGAGTTCAGTAGACGCAAACTGCAGGTTTGCTTGGATAGTTGTCTTCGTCATGAATCATCTTCAGACGAGGAAGACCCCTCCGGCCTTCAGGTTACATAAAGTGCATCTGGTGAGGTAAAAAAACAACAGTGTCATCTTTTGGGGGGGGGGGAGAAACACAAGATCCAATAATGCAGGACCAGATTCCAGAGGTCTCCAATGGTATGCTTTAGGTACATAAACACACCAGCTACAATGGTCCAACAAGCAAGACAAAGGTGTGCCAAGCTTGGATTGCAAAATAAGAACTCCAATTCACAAAAGACTGGTACCACTAGTTATTTGACTTCATTTCACAGATCCTCTGTGATATCACATCAACGGCAGCCTTTTGTTTAGTATCACATATTCGGATTGTGTCCTGTTGCTTTGCATCGCTATTGACAAGGCACAACCATTTATTTCTCATGTCCATGGACATGAAATTCACTCCTGCAAGAAACTACAAGTGTGATTCTCTCCCATCACATAATTAGTACTGAGCAAGTAGTGTGTGTAAAGCAGCAATCTGGGGTGTCAAGTGTGATGGTATCTCACAGGAAAGTGTTGTGACTGGCACCAAAACAATCAGCCATTTAAGGTCCAGTTCTGCTCAATCTTAATAGGAATAAACATGCACTTTGTTGACATACTCGGACCTGGAGTGTCGATGACACGTATGAGAAAGTCTGCAGAAAGGGCTGAGACCTGAAAGATGCTGCTCAGTCACAGAGGAGAGGATAAACAGGAGAGCCAATGATGAGAGGAACTCCCAAAGAAAAGCTATGCTACAGGTGTCTGACCACAAAATAGAATGTATGCATTAGTGTTTTATTAATACTGTGTGCGGATATCATGCACTTTGTGGCATTTTGTTATTGATCAACATCAACCTTTCTACTTCAGACAAGCATAAACCCACACAAATAAACTCTCAACCTACGTGTTGACCTGCTGTGGAGAAAGACAACTGACAACAAAGCTAATCATAGGCAGAAGAAAAGAAATAGGACTCTCAGAGCCTTATGGAAGAATCAAGCACAACCGTTTATCTGGCTCAGACAGGCCGGGCCTGTCAGCTCTGATGTGGAAGGATTGATTAGATGCAGTAATCCGTTACCTGTGCACCTGGACTGGGGCCAAAGGGGTTGGCTGGCCTCATCACTGGCTGGGTGTACATCATAGTGGGCTGTGTCGTCATCGTCATGGAGCCTACGTTGGGAGGCTGAGAGGAGAGAAACGAAAACACAGCGGGGATGGATTACACAACCTATGCACAGAAAAGAAAATACATCTCCTAAATAAGGTGCGAGGGGTAGTACATGTCATTTCCATCTGCACTAAAAACAACTCTGTGGCACTGAAGGAAACCAGCCTGTTTATTGATGAGGACACGACCCAGCATCATCACTCATCACCCTCTCTCAATTCATTCCGTTGTGCTGGCAGAAGCCGACACATTTACTGTCATTTATTGCCTCTGAGATAGCACATGAAAGGCCTTACACTCATGTTTAAAGATGAAATAAATACTGTTCATATTGACGGATAATAAAAGAAGTTAGTGCACACTACACATATGTTAGAAAATCTCCTCCTTGCATGCCTGCAGAGGCTGTGTGTGTGTGTGTGTGTGTGCGTGTGTGTGTGTGTCACAGTCCCTGCTGACTTACCATTGCATATGCCATCATGCCTGTCGGTGTGGTTGCAGGGAAGGCCATAACAGATGGTGCCTGAGGTGACACAAGAGACAAGATGATTCCTTCTACAGAATCAGGACGCAGCCAAACCCAACTCACCGTTAAGAGTTAGTTAGGAGAGGAACACATTTAAGGCAGACCTCAGCATACATGTAATTACAGTAACTCAAATGAGTCTATTCAGGAAGATGTCATGATGAAGGCTTCTACTCAATACCAATATTAATCATTTTCACCTTTGATCACAGTCAAAAGGTGCTTAAAGGGTGTTTTTTTCCACTTAAGAGAGCAGTCACATGACATACGTATCTGACTTTGTTCGGACTGTTGAAGCTTGCTGATATTTTTCACTGCATTCATTCAAAACTCATTTCCATAGTAAATCAAGAATGCAGCTTGAAGGAAGAAGATGGAATCAACAACGACAGCAGGATTCAGCCAATATGGCCATTTACAGTTGATAGAAAATGAACACAGCCTTTGAACAATCTTCAGATAGCCATCTATAGCCTGGAATTCAAAAGGCAATAAATCTATGTATTTTTCCAAACAATCACACAATATTTTGTCATTTTAACGTGAATAATTAAAACAAATTCTAACAATCACAAATGCCTTCAGGATCATACAATAACTCAATATCCAACACCTGTGTGGAATCACAACAATTAACTTGATGAAATCATGACTACAAACAGCTGTTCACCATGGTTCCTCTGTTTAGAAGTGCAGCGACAATAACATGGCTCAAAAGATCTCCCACAACAATTCCATGACTAAGTTGTAGAAAGGAACACATCAAGTGAGGGATACCAAAAGATTCCAAAGGATGCAAAGATACCTGGAAGCACCGTTAAGATCATCATTACAAAATGGAAAGTGAATGGCACCACCCACAGTGGACCAACATCAGGGTGTCCATCTACACTACATAATCAGGAGAGAAGGCCAACAGGGTGCAACACACAAGAACAATGTCAAAGATAATGCAAACCTGTGGCCTATATGAGAGGCTCCATCTGGAAGCATCCCTCAACAAACTGGCAGAAAGTTTTGTGGTCTGATGAAACAAATATAGAAGTTTTTGGCATAAACACCAAACATTACATTTGGCAAAAAAAACAGCAACCATCGCCAAATAACATCTTGACTGAAGCATGGTGGTGGCAGCTTAATGTTGTGGACATGATTCTCATCAGAGGGGACTGGGGAAGGATGGAAGAGTCAAATACAGGGAGGTTCTGTAGAAGAACATGAAGACTGAAAATGGGTCAGAATCTCATATTCCAACAGGTCAATGACCCAAAGTGAATTTGGACTGTCCAGCTAAAACAAGGTGGATGGCCAAGAGGCCTTGAACTAAAACTAATAGAAAACCAGTGGAATAACTTGCCGGTTGCTGTCAATCAGCTCAAACTGTTCTGCAAAGAGTAGTGGGTCAAGATGTCCAAATCCAGGTGTGCCTTCTTTGTGCAGAGCTACTACAAAGACAGGTAGCTGTGGTTGATGTCAAATGCTAATCAAAAAGGTTGTGCTGCATTGATCTAGTATGTTGTATGTTTTGGGACCAGGGCAAAACAACCACTTCAATATGAAATTTGCAGACCAAATGTGAAAACATTGGAGGTGGGTGTATCCATTTTCTATCCACTGAATATCAGAAGTGAAGTTTTTGAGATTGAGGTGGACACAACTGAAGTCATTATTTGATCAATATCATTCTAAATGGTTCAAGACACTTCTCAAGTTCAGTGTTAACCCCAAAACACAACGGTGGAGAGAGGCCTTTCTATTGAAAATGTGTAAAGCCTGTCAAAAGACTTCTAATATTATCAGAGCGGGATCAGACTTATTTGAACAGCAGAATGACAGACAGAAGTGCAGGAATCAAAAAGGAGAGTGTGTAGAGTCCTGGGGATAGAAGTTGGCTGCTGGCAGGTGCTCCTTGTGGAAAGAGATTAGAGAGAAGAAAGTACAGACTCTTTCCTTTTCCTTGGTCCCCCAACAGCCCCTGCAGTGATAACCAACCCAGATTTGTCTACCGCCCAGCCCTCTCGAGAAGGATACATTTCATTACCTATTCAGTCATTGGCACAAGTGAGTCAGACATGACGCTGGTGCCAAAATTGGTGCCTTCATCACAGACCGCGCTTGTTTCGTTGCACCGAGAGCTTTCCTTCAAAATTCCTCCGGGCTGACAATGTTTGCTTTGTCTCAGGGACATCTCACTCAGCGTTCCTCAGCCACTCAAGAAGGACATGATGAGGCTGGATCTCTGCATCACATTAGAGGTCGTCCTTTAACGACTGATGGATGTTGTGTCTCTGCGTCTTAGTGGATCAGCTTCCTTCAAGTCACCAACTCTTTCTTTCCGGCTTCCTCAGAGAACACTCATCAGCCTTTGATCATCAGCTGACATTTGGCCACATCATCAATAACTCAGCAGGATCACACGCAGTGAGAGCACAGTCGGAAGGTGTTCTGCAGGATTACAGTCAGAAGCTCCTTTTGAACATTATACTAAAGGGTGATTTCAGATGAAATGTTTCATATGGAAAACACTGGACTCCAGACCGCACTTTGTATTCTCATTTGTGAAAATGTTGCATGACAAACCGCGGCTACATGTGATCCGTTATGGTGACGGTGCCAGTGAGACTAGAGTTCCTCAACATACAGTTCATGCAACACAGTCCCTATTGTCCATATCGGTCAATACAGGTGCCAGCTTTTACAGTTTGACTCACAACACCCGAAAGGTGGTGGTGGTCGTATTAAGCAGCCTGAGTGAAAGTCCTTGGATGTGTACTACAGTGTGGATACCAGACCGGGTTCACACAAATATTTACAAACCATGTTCGGGTTGAGCCTACTTGACACGGTGCTTCAAGACCCTTTTTAGAGAAAATATGTTGTGGAAATGAATCACTTGCTGTATGTGTTGGACTACTTCTTGTTCAGTGCTGGGGTTTTCTATTTATATGACTGGAACCATGGTAACAACTAATGGTGACTGACTGGTGGTCAGAGTGTTGCAGCTGAAGACGTTAACCAGTGAGAGCAGAAGATTTTTAGACCATATACACAGTAGGGATGGATGTGTGGCCCCGGAGAACAATGACACATTGCAACAAACGGGTATTAGAGGAATCCTTTGGAGTGTAAACTAGGGATGCACAAATCCAATTTGTTCAATCCTGATACGATAGCTGAGCTTTGTGTACTGATGGGATACATACCAGTGTGTAATGCCTCCCTGTGTGGAAGAGACCGACTATTCATTTTGTGAAGGCAACATCAGGCGTGACTTCAACATTACATTCCTAACTTTGCAAAACAAAACATGATAGATGCATAAATATAAATGTATTGAATTGTTATTTGTTATTGAATTAACAAATCGTAAAAAAGCCAACCAAGTAAATTCATCTTCAGAATAAAGAGGAATTACAAAATCAAGTGTGCACCTTTTAAATGCAGCAACAAATTGGTCAAAAATGACACAGGAAATGATATTCTAGTGTATAATGTATATGGTCTATAAACACAGAATTGAATAGATTGAGCCCATTGTCACCTATATCCGACCCAGCTATTTGAGTCAGTATCGACCCGATATCAGTATCAGTGTACCCCTAGTGTTAACATTAACATCCAGAACACAAGGCACAAAGGGGTTAAAGGGTAAGAGAAGCAGGAACTTCCTAAAAAGCAAAAAGCCCATTGATGCAAAAGTAGTTCCTCTCAGTCATCCCTTAGGACTCACTAGAAGTGTGTGTTGGTGTCTGCATCTACAGACACTCTGCCTGGGGTTCTCTGTGTTCGGGAACGTTTCTGGGCATCAGCAAAGAGCCTTTGATCCCCACGTGGGGGTGCAACCCTCAGCTAATAAGCGCGGCGTGCTACCTGTTCTCATCGCCAGGACAAACATCGGTGATTTGTCACGCCTCTTGGATTCTGATACCGAGGCACAAGGCACGGTTTAGCATCTGTATGATACAAATGGGCAGAGAGTGTGTTGTTCCTTCGCTGTGTGTTTTTATGTGCTCATGCTCCGTGTCATTTGTTGCTCTCCTCTGCTGTGCTTAAAGAGCGGAACCGCTGTGAGCCACTCACAAATAACGTTTTGTTCTTCGGATCCACTGCTTTGTTCTCACTAACCCTATTCACTCTCTAGCTTGCTCGGCTGTAGATCTCCTTCTCTCTTTCAATCGCCCTTTGAGCCGGAGAGAGGAGCAACCAACAATGCTACATCGGATACCCTTACGCTCCATCATCGGTTGGGTTGCCACCTGGGCTGGTTGGATATCACTGGTTGTCGTATCACAGTTCAGTCTATAGACAATTATAATAAGTACATCTTATGACTGGACCATAATGATCTGCAGCTTAATGCGTTGTCTGCTTTGCTGTCCTTCACTAACAACTACATCGTGGCCCTTCTCAGGTACTAAATACTGCTTTCAGGCACCCTTGGCTCGATGCTATGCAACAGCTTGTTCGCAACACGGAAAACATCGCTATTAATAACGCAGGATATATGTCTAGATGAGCACAACAATATGTGCGTTTCAATAAACAGGCTACAGCAGCAGAGACAACACCGGGTGTCACTCCTGTCAGCTCACAGGCTCACCAACATGTGACAACAGAAGATTGGAAAAACGTTGCCTGGTCTGATGAGTCTCCATTTCAGCTGCCACATTCAGATGGT